TCAAAGCAGCTCTCCCTGCCACCTCAATTGTGCATGGTGGTCGAGGGTTCTCCTCCTGCCAGAGTTCCAGAGGCTGGTTGCGAAAGTGGGCAACTGCATTGCCCCAGAGCTGTTGTGGTTCAAAAAATGAGTTCTGTGCCAGTCGCAGTGGTTCAATGCCTATAATTCCAGCACTTTGGGAGGCCAATGTGGGCAGATCATGAGGTCAAGAGATCGAGACCATCCTGGCCAACATGATGAAACCTTGTCTCTACTAAAAAGACAAAAATTAGCGAAGTGTAGTGGCACACACCTGTAGTCCCAGCTACTCAGGAGGCTGAGGCAGGAAAATTGCTTGAACCCGGGAGGTGGAGGTTGCAGTGAGCTGAGATTGTGCCACTGCTCTCCAGTCTGGCAACAGAATGAGACTTCATCTCAAAAAAAAAAAAAAATTAGTTCTTGTGTGTGGTAACCTGCTCAGGGTTCCCAGCTCTTTCCCCCTTCAGCCCAGCTTCTGTGTCTTTCCTCCATCCACTCTCAGTGCCCCCTCTGAAGATCTGTTTAAAGCCTACCAGTCATCTTAGTCCCTCCATGGGAGCCATTCCACTTGTTTGAGTCTAGTCGGCCATCTTGCCCTCTCCCTCAAACATTTATCTTTTCGCTGTGTTAGGAACATTGTAATTCTATTCTAGCTATTTTAAAATATATAACAAATTGTCATTAACTATAATTTTCCTACTGTACTATCAAATACTAAAACTTATTCCTTCTATCCATCTGTATTTTTGTACCCATTAATTAACTTCTCTTAATCCTCCAACTTCTTTACCAGCCTCTGGTAATCAGCATTCTATTCTCTACCTCTAAGAAATCTACTTTTTTAGCTCCCACATCTAAGTGAAAATATGCAATATTTGTCTTTCTATGCCCGGATTGTTTCACTTAATGTTGTAACCTCCAGTTTCATTCACGTTGCTGCAAATGACAGGATTTAATTCCTTTTCTGAATAACATTTTATTGTGTATGTATTTTTGAATAATGTTCCATTTTTTATCCATTCATCCATTGATCCACACTTAGGTTGATTTCATATCTTGACTATTGTAAATAATGTTGTAATAAATATGGGACTGCAGATACCTCTTTGATGTACTGATTTCCTTTCCTTTGGATATATGCCCAGTGGTGGGATTTCTAGATCACATGGCAGTTCTTTTTTTAGTATTTTGAGGAACTTGCATACAGTGTTCTGTAATGCCTGTACTACTTTCCATTCTTACCAACAATATATGAGTGTTCCTTTTTTTATACATCCTCACCAACGTATTTTATTTTTTGTCTTTTTGGTAATAGCCATTCTAATTGTGGTGAGATGATATCTCATTGTGGTTTTGATTTGCATTTTTTGATGATTAATGATGTTGATAATTTTTTCATATACTTACTGTCCATTTGTATGTCTTCTTTTGAGAAATGTCTATTCATGTCTTTTTCCCATTTTTAATTTTTTTGTTTGCTATCGAGTTGTTTGAGTTCCTTATATATTCAGTTTATTAATCCCTTGTAGGATGGATAGTCTACAGATATTTTCTCCCATTCTGGAGGTTGTCTCTTCATTTTGTTCATAGTTTTCATTGCTGTGCATAAGCTTTTTTTAGCTTGTTGTAATCCCATTAGAATAGTCCCTGCAACTAACGTAAACAATATTAAATGGGAAATGTAGTTATGATTTGACAAAAGTATTGCATATATGACAAGACAGAGAATCAAGGCCTCTCTTTAGGACTGCATACAGGCTGTTCACGATACCTTTACCCACATTGGACCACTCTTTGGCCTATACCTGAAATGGAACTTGCACATTTTCAGTAGCACCATAAGCCCCTTAGTCAGGATGGGCTGTACTCCATTCCTCACATATGACTGCCTTGAAGGTTATACCTACTCTTAGACTAACAGTGTACTGTGGTCACTATTTGCAGAGCTCTGATAGAGCACCATATTACTGAAACAAGAAGCTCAGGTTAAAATTTTAATCTAAAGAAAGATAGACATTGTAACGTACCCAAAGATCTGGCTTTATTGATGAGAAGGGAAAGGCTCAATAAATACTGAACAACTGTTTAGATCTAGATACAATATGCCAGGTGATTTACTTATATAATCTTATAGATTCTTAAAACAACTGTGGTAGGATACTGTCACCATCTCGATCTTGGATGTAAACAATCAATGTCCAAAAAAAAAAAGAAGAATTACCTTTCCTAAACTCACAGAACGTGAAACTGGGATTCAATCCCAAGTGTATCTGGCTAAAAAGTCTGTAATCTTATTCTTCTGAGGCAACAGACTTGGTTTAAATACTAGCTCTGCTACTTATTAGTTATATGGTTTTAGTTTGCTTAATCACATTACCACTCCCTCATCTGTAAATAAGTGGTGACAAATAGTTCCTGTCTCAAAAAGTTCATTATCCTCAAAACAAATGAGATAATGCATCAAATATCACTCTCTGGGGTGGGGCCCAAGCATCTGTCATTTTAAAACCTATACGAGTGATTCTAATTTACAACTAGGTTATTCTAATATATAAAACATTGTTCTAATGTGAATGAAGTGCTTAACTCAGATTATGGTACATAGTGTGTGCTCAGAAATTGTTTTTATTATTGTTGTGGTTACCATTATCTTATGGATGCCACGTCTTCTTATTCATTTTGAGTAAAAACTAATGATTAAGTATAAAATACGGAAATTTAGTGTTTCTTGTACTATCTGCTTTCATATACTTTTGAATCTCTCTACCACAAGCGATGTTGCTAAATGGCTGGAAAACATAAAAAATACTTGAACAGGGAATGGTAAGAAATGATGTTACTGTTTCCATGTAATATTATAGACAAGGTATGATCTTTATGGTCAAAACACCTAAGATTTAAGTCCTAGCTCTACCAATAGGTTGGGAATTTTTGGAGGACAAGCCACTTTGTTTAAGTGTCAATTTCCTCACATCTAAAACTGGGCTAAAATAAACAACTTGTATTTATAAATGGATTAAGAAAATAATATAGCATATTTAAAATACCTGGGAAATTTCCTGGGCACACAGTAATGATCAGTGTATGTTTCACTTTCTCATTTCTTTATTCCAGCTTCACATGTTTACATCATTGCTTTATTAGCTTTCTCTCTGTATTTATCAATAATCTAGATCCTGAAAGTGCAGTATGGCTTCCAGGTTCACTGGAAATGGATCTGATAACTGGAATCTCAGAAAAAAGAAGCGGGGGGGGGAGGGGTTATGCCCTCTGAGGTTCAAAGGCCATTTGTCCCCTTAACATTGATTTTCTTAAATCAGATACTAGCCAAGACCCTGAGTGAAGTAATTGAATTGACAAAAGGCAGGTCTAGGTTATTAATAATGGAACAGCCTTGGACATTCTCGATGACTTAATTTAATGATAGAAGAGAGGCCTGAAACCAAAATGCCTAGAGATGGGGTAAGTGGTTGGGTCTCTGGGAGAAAGGAAAACACAAGTTATCCCTCAAAGCTTATTTCATGGGACAAAGCATTTTATTATAGTCCTAAACATGAGGTCAGAGGAAATAGTTTTGATTTTCTCTTTTTTAACAAAACAAAATTTTAAAGACTTGAATAATTACCATTAAATTTATTTTTTGCCCCTGGAAAACAGACTTGTTTAGGTTTATGGAATTTTGGAATCTTAGGGATTAACTCAAGAGTAAAAATCATAGACATCTTATCAGTTTATACCCTGAATTCAAATATCAGTTCTGTCATCTACTAGTATGAATTCAATCAAGTTAGGTAACCTCTCTGAGCCATAGTTTCTACCTTTATTAAATGAAGATGTTCATATTTATTTTTTATGGTTATAGGAGAATATTTCCAATGTTTAAAAAAGTATATAAAATTACTGTCACTTGATACTATATAATACCTCACACAATAAATATTTGTTGAATAAAATGATACATGAATTTTTATGTTTTTGGTTTTTTCACTGTCCCTGGATAGAAAGGCTAGCCTGTGGTAACCTCTTGAAATCTTTTCTTCTCTCGAGGTATTCTGGCTGCTCTACCTGTAGCTCTCATCATCTCTCCTTTGGACTATTTCAGTGGTTTCAAGTGTCTTTTTATCACATTTCTCTTCTCTTTCACAATCTTCCCTCCCCTCTTACCACAAAGTTGTTTGCTAAAACAAAGATCCAATCTTTTAAAATTATACTATCCTCTTGGAAAGGCATCTAGAATGTCATAATCACTCATTTTAAAGATAAGACCCAGAGATGGGGTGAGATTTACCCAAGTACCTATGGCGCTATAAACGTATACTAAGATTAGAGTTGAGCCTAGTACCCCGACCCCTAGAAGAAAATAACAAAGAGGGTACAGAAGAGGATATATATCCTCCAGTTCTAGTCAAAGGGGTTTCAAGTAGTTGTAGAATTTTTTAATTGCAATTTTGTTCTTAGTTACTATTTTTAGTGTTTTTGAACTTTAAATGTACTACTCTTACCCCGATGATAATATGATTTATTTCTATGTAAATTCTAGGTCAGTCAAGAGAAAGGGTACAGTTAATAGTAACTAAAACTTATATGACATTCATTATGTACCAAGTATGGTTCCAAATACTGTACATATATTAATTTAATTCTCATCAGAGTCCTATGAAGTAGGTACTGTTATTATTCCCATTTTTCAGATCAGGATACTGAAACAGATGTTTAGTAGCTTGGCAAGGCCACACAACTCAAAAGCAGTAGAGTTGGTACTAAAATTCGTTTCCAGGTTCCAGAGCTAATGCATAATTACTATGCTCAGCTGGCACAAACACATTACATTCTCATGAGCACTGTGTATTCTCACTATACAATTGGCTGCTAGTCCATATGGCTGCCTTTAACCCTGTTTCTTCTTTCCTGTCTTAATTATCAGGAAGTTGCAATTTGTATTGCATAGTCTTAAGATGAACTTCTCCCTCTTTCTTTTTCAGAGGGTCATTTTCAACATTGTTAACTTCAGTAAAACCAAGAGTCTCTATAGAGATGGGATGGCCCCTATGGTGAAATCTACCAGCAGACCAAAATGGTAAGTGATCTACAGAATGAGACTCCTTCCTGGTTAGAAAATTGGTCCCAGACCCCATACGTATACGCACCTACTAATGGACCCCCCCAAAAATAAAAATAATTCTTTTAAAAAAGAAAATTTTACCCAGAGCTCAAGTTTATCTGCTGTACAGCAGGGGATCAGACTTACTGTCACTGAGAAGAATAAGGATGGGTTTCTGTATGGCCATTCTTTGGGTACTGTTCTTGAGAATGTTGGAAATATGGTCCTATGCTTGGAATGATCAGCATTCAACTATGAGAAAAGACAGTCAGTTATTTGGTAAGCTTCCTGTCCTGTTTGGCTTTTATCTTGGTAATTTTGGAAACATAAATAAAGTTGGTTCTTTTCTTTTCCTAGCCTAAGCATAGATTATGTATAATAACCTAGGAGGACATTAGGAACTACAGTTCAGTAGCTTTCTCTTGCTTTGCATGGTTTTTGTGTTTTGTGTGTGTGTATTTTAAAGTTCTATTTGTACCATTGCTATAGTGAGGAGGACGGGAGTTGGATAGGATTGGTTAATAATTGTAATAATAATAGTAATAATATTACTAATACTAGTAATGATAACTACCCCACTTACTACAAAGCCATCTGGGTCAGATGCTTTATATTTGTTGTTACTATTTCCACATTTTTGCAATGGAACTTTTAAATGTCCGTATATTACAGATGAAAAAATTGAGGCAAGGAAAAGTTAAGTACTTTATTAAGACCATAAAGAGTAAGAGAGTGCCTTGTGTTATTTATGTTACCCCATAATACCTTTTCAACCAATTCATTCATTCATTTATTCATTCAACAAACATTGATTGAATACAACAAAATGAAAGACTTCAAAGACAAAAACCTAGTATTATTAATCTATTCATCTATCACACAGTAGGTGTTAAGTGAATGCCTGTTAAAATGAACTGATTTTGTTATGAGAATTTACATGCAAAGTGCTTGGCACTTACTAAGTGCTCAACAAATGGCATCTATCTTTAATAGTATTATATAAAACCCTATACAAATGCAAGGAATTGTTAATATTGTTATAGCTTTGATCTCTGTTCAAATATTAATGACTAGTGAGAAGATAGTCTCTGAATGTCTATATTTATAGAAAACTAGCAATTCATAAATATTGAATTGTGCTTTTATCTCCAAATGATACTTGGCAATTTTCTATAAATGTTGGGCTGAGAAGCTCAGGTTTATAAAAGTAGAGGCATTTGATGACAATAATAAAAACTGTTTATGAAAGGTAAAAATATCTCCTTGGGCATGATTTTTTGCTTTCCTGTGTCAAATCAACTAATCTGCTGCTCCTTCTCTCAGTCTTTCTGGGCAAGGGATAGGCCTTTGCTTTGAGTCTCTGGTTCCAGCCCAAGTAGATAATAATAGAAATCATTTCTCTTTTAATAGGCATATATATAGATGATTACTTTAAACCTTGCAAGTAAAAGGACATCACTGTTGATTTGCTCATGAGGGCCTTCAAAATGACATTGTGTATCTTTTTCCATATTCTGTGTTGGGATCTTGTACAGCAACAATAATCACCATCCATTTTTTCCAAGTGTTAAGTTCTGGAGTTCTTTTTTTTGCTTTTGAAGATGCATAAGCCTTAATTATTTCACTTTGCTTCTTTTTTCTCATGAACTGTGTTGTGTCTTCTCTGCTAGGGCTCTTGACAAGATTTTGAAATAATGGGTCCTTGCATTTGAATTATGATGCTTTAGAATTAAGTTGGTGCTCTTACGCAATATTGGCAGGCACTCAGCAGCAGCCATTGTCCAGTCATTGGACTCCTCTAATGGTCTGAACAAGCCTAAAGTTTCAGAATTGAGTTTGTTGTAGTTTATTAAGCCACTTAGGCATAAGGTACCATAACACATCACATTGTTTGTATATGTAATATCTCCTATTTTTTACCTTGCCATCCCCAGAACTTGGATACAAAGCAACTTACATTGCTTCAGAGTTTCCTGTCCTCAAGCCAGATGTTTAGATTTTTTTTTAACTTCATAGGACTTCATTGAGCACCTTCATGTGCTATGCACTGTTCTAGATATTGGGATACAGGATGAATATGCTATAAAAGATCTGTTCCAAAAGGGAATTTTATGTTTAGAATTTTTATTAACTAATCTGTGCAAATCATAATTGTTATTCTCCTTGCTACATTCTTTGAACATCCTTTCTTTCTTCCACCTTGGTGCTCTGTGTCTAGGAGTTTCTTTTATGCTTTGAGTCGGTTACCTACACCTGAACCTATCTCCCAGCAGCCATTATCATAAATATTCCCAGGGTTTGATAAGGAAGTGGCTATGGGCTTTCAGAATATTAGATTTTGTTGGCTCCAAGGAGTCTATCCTAATTTAGGAATCTCAGCAATGGCCTAACTCAAACCTGAAAAATACCTTGTAGATCTCAAATTTATAGTATCTTCTCCAGTGTCTTTCTAATTCTAGCTTTCCCAAAACCAAGGCAAACACTATAACAAAAAAAGTTTGTAATACTTTCCTTGGGTATTACCTTCTTTGATATTCCAAATAAGTCATGGAAAAATTCCTACTTCAGGATAAACACTAGAAATCTGAAATTTCCTGGATATTTTATATATATATATAAAATTTGGAATATACCCATATGTATGTGTGTGTGTATATATTTATACATGTATGTATGTATGTGTGTATATATATGTGTATTTACATATATATATATGGAAAACACCCTTTTTTCACCTTTTCAGGGTGAACAAACATTCTTCTTCACCTCTTATAGGGGGCTGTAACAGGTACCAAGGCCTTCAAGTCTTAGCATAGACTGGTAGTTGATTAGTTATAGAAAGCCAATCAACATGAGATACAACTGGCAAACCATTATATAAATGTGTGGCCACTCAAGGCTGTTCTGCCTTGAGGAGACATCTAGCAGCTGGAAGATTCAGCTTCTAGAATGAAGCTGAATTTCATTCTAGCTTCATTGGAGCTAAAGATGAAGCTCCAGTGAAGAGCTTCATCTTCACTGGAGAAGCTGGAAGATTCAGAAGTTTTCTGCCTGTTTTAGTTCACTCTTATTTTATTTACATATTAGACTTCTTAAGGATTGTGGTTAGGGCTCTGTAGCATCAGGTTTCTGATGGTCATAACTTATTAATATTTCTTAACAGTGTCCAAGACTCATAAATCATTAATATTTCTTAAGAGTGTTCATTGCTATGTGGTAGACACTGCTAGGAACTGGCATTGCGAGACAACTGGGAACTGTATCTTCACCTCTGCAGAAACTGAGGCTGGGAGTATTTATGTAACTAGTAAGTGTCAGCACCAGCTAGAAACCACATAAGTCCAAGTTTACTGTTCCTCTCATATTCCATGCATGGGGATGTTGGAAGAAGGAGACAAAAAGAAGCAAGGAGTAGCATGCTATTGTGTGGCCTTTGGATAATCTGAAATAACTTACTGAATTGGCTTTTTCATTATAGTAGATCAAAAAGATTGGACTAGATCTTAGAGATGGCCTCCATTTAACATATTTTTATTGATCATCTACTCTGTGCTAGATCCTGTGGTGATTAATATCAGGATGATTAGGATTCTTTCTTTAAAGATTTTACTTTTTTAGAGGTTGAAATGAAACACAAAAATAGGTACAATGTAGAGAACATTGTGCTAAGAATCATTAGCACATAAAGCATGCAGTGGGATTACGGAAGATGAAGAAAATTATACTATTAATGCCGTGACGAGAAAAGGAGACATGCTAAGGAGCAGGTGATATTTCAGCTATATCTCAAGGAATGGAAAGTGAATAAAATTAAGGAAATGAGATTTCAGGTGGAAGAAAAAACATGATGAGACATACTACCTCTTTCATTAGCCCGCTTTCTCGCTGTAAAAAGTACATAATAATACTTCCTCCCAATGTTGTTATAAGAAACAAATGTGAAATGAATGTGTAAATACTTTTTAAAGTCTGAAGCGTGTTATTAAACAAATTTCCTGGTTTTCTCCTTTCTTGTAATTCACCCAAGACTGACTATTATTTGTTCTTTTTCTCCCTCCTCTCTTTCTTCCCTCCTGCTTATCAATAAATGCTTACTGAGTGGTTAAAATGAACCAGGAACTATGCAAGGCATTAAAACATAGCAGTGACAAGACAGATGTTTCATTGTCTCGTACCATATAGTCTACTATGCTAAACATTAAATATGTAACTCTAGTAGATAACTGTTTTAATGAGAACTTCGTAGTAACAGTTATAATTTAAATACTACATAGCATTTAAGACTTCATATACACCAATGATAAGAGACCTTCCTTAGGAAGTATTGTCTATACTGAGAGCTGAAACAGAATGTGTTTGGAGGCCAAAAAAGTGAGAGAGGACATTTTATCTTTGATGAGAAAAGGCCAACATTACTGAAGCATTACATTCTGAGGAGAAAGTGATTGGAGAGATGATTGAGGTGAGCCTTATAAAATCAAGCTAAAGAGTAGGACTTGATTATAATGACAATGGAAATAAATTAAAAGGATTAAATGGGGGCAGGACATGATCAGATTGAAAGTTAAGAAAGATCAGTCTTGCTGAATGGGGAATATTTTGGAGAGGATTAAAAGTATTTGGGTGTTTTGCAATATACTTTAGGCTACAGCTAATGATGGATTGGGGTGGTAACAGTAGTGATAAAACAGTGGATGGTTTTCAGGGATAATGGAAGATTGAATCAATTTAAGTTTGTGGTTGACTAGATGTGGAGAGTAAAAGAGAGGGAGGAGTCCTGGATGGTTCCCAGATTTTCTGGCATGAGCAACAGAAGGGATGATATCATTTACTGAAGGTAGGGACCACAGGAGGAGAAACAGTTTAGGCAGATTTAGCTGGATAGGGGAGATGATGAGTTTAGCCTGGGAAACATTAAGCGAGAAGTGCCTGGAAAACATCCAAGCAGAGATGTCAGGTAGGCAGAACGGTATGTT